CCCCCTTGTGTTGACCTTCGCTCCCACGACTTAAAAATTCAAGTCTGACTTGAATTTTTTTTTACGGTAAATTTTGCCTTTATACTGCATAATTTTTTATTTCAATCTAAAAACCTATTAAAATCTTCTAGTTGTCTAGACGGCTCAAATCTATTTCACAAGATTTTTAAATTGCAATCCAAAGGTACATTCAAACTAACACTCAATCTTTTAAAATATATCTTATTTTAAAAAAAAACGACTCTCTCCAACTTTAAAACACATCACATCCACCAAATGTGGATCTTCCACAAAGTGGGGTGCCACTTTGTTCCTCACAAAATGGGGCGTGGCCCTTTGTCGTGCAACGTTTTTCCCCACAAAATGGGGTTTGTGGCGTGCCCCTTTAGGGTTCTTTAAGTGCCCCCCAAATATGTTAATTGTGGGCCTCCATATTAAATATAGAATTATAAAATAAACATTTTAATAAAAATGGAAACAATCTTTTTTATATTTCTTTGAACATTTCAATTAATTTTAATAAATACAAAAAAAAATATTCAGAGTGCTACAATAATTATTCTAAAATTAATCACTATTTAATAAAATAAATTTGATAGGAATAGAATCCTTCAATGTCTAGGCTTTAATAATTCTGAAGTACTCTATCTTTTGTGGAATATAATCCAAGCTTGTTTTCTTAAACTGGCTTGGTAGTTCCTATGACCCGCATAACACTACATGGATTTATGATTGGGATATCAAAATCAATCAATAGGCAAGGAAACATAATCCCAATTTATAAATTATCAGTTCTCCTGCAGAGACGAGTTTTAATATCACACTTGATGAAACCACAACACTATGATGCATAAGATAATTTCTCCCACATGTGCATATATCACCCTCAATGGTGAACTGTTTTCTCAATACAATCATATGCACATGTCGTTTGATGAATGATGAGGATTTAATCTTCGTCTTTAACGATCAACTATTACACACAGATCACACAATTCACTCATCTACGCAAAATGAGTTAACTAACCTATCAACTCTCATCAGTTTTTATTCAATACCCAACCATCAAAGATTTTCTAACTCGACTGGCCTAGCACGTGAAACGTAATTTGAGTTATAGTAAATAACATTTGCATCTCATGGTCCATAGAGACCAAACTCCCACTCATTTTATGTTGCACCAAAATATTCAATTTACAAGCCCTGATAAAGCCTTTTAATAGCTACATCACCCCCAACAAAGTTAAGTGATAAATTTTTTTCATATGTAACATAACAAAGGAGGAGAAGAGAAGAGAGAGCCAGGAGATATTCCCGAAATTTAGATACAAGAAAACAAAACCAACAAAATAAAAGTGCCAATCAAAGTCAAATAAAGAGAGAAACCCAGAATGTTGTAAAATTTAGACACGAAAAAAAAACCCACAAAATAAAAGCGCCATTCAAATTACAGGAATGAAGGAGACAACCCAAAAAAACTCTCAATATAGATACGACCAAGCACCAGGCTTGTAGCCAATTCAATACAATCCAAATTGGCAGAGAAGAAAAAACCCGAAAATTTTCTCTAAATTCAAGCAAGACAAAGAACCAAATAGCAAAACCCCATTACCAACATCAATTACATCATCCTAATCTGTCATACTATCTTTTGTAAACTATGTCAAATCACATGTTTCATTACAAATCAGTTCCACACCATACCCCTATGAAGTGTGGAAGCAGTGATGGCTATAGTGGGGGGGAGTTGCTCATGGAGGCGTCGATGAGAGCAGATGAGGTACGAAGGGTAGCGGCAGGGGGGCCTGGGCTTGGAGTAGAAAGCGGCGCAGTCGGCCGCGGGTCTTTGGTTGGGCCGCCCGGTGATGCAGTTGAGGCGGTCATCAAGCTTGCCCTTTCGTGCGAGCTGCCTGCACGCAGGCCCCAAGCTCCTCAGATAATTCCCAGAGACGGTAAGATTCATCAATTGACCGAGCACGCACACAGACTCCGGTAGCGACCCCCCGAAATAGTTATCTGCCAGGTTCAGCAACTCCAGCTTTGCCATACACCCCAGTGACTCTGGTAGTTCCCCACTCAGCATGTTCTTGCTTACATCAAAGACTAATGTCTCCTTAAGCTTCCCCACCTCATAGGGTAGGCACCCAGAGAATCTATTGTTGAGGAAGAGAACCTCTCGCAAGGTCTCGGAGAGCTCACAGAAGGACGACGGGATCGGACCACAGAATGCGTTATTGGCAAAGGTGAGTAGGGCGGCCGAGGCGTGTCCAAGGTTGGCGGGAAGGGATTGTTCGAAGCGGTTGTTGTTGATGAAGATGACACCAAGCCGCAACAGCTCGAAGATACCTGGGGGGATGCTGCCAGAGAAGTCATTGAATCGGAGGTCGAGGAACTCGAGGCCTTTCATCCGGGTCAACACGGGTGGGAAGCCGCCGGAGAGCAAGTTGTTGCTGAAGTCCAGTTGGTAGAGGAGGGTGAGTTTACTGAAAGAGTCAGGAACAGTGCCTCTGAAGCGATTGGAGTTGGCATGGACAAATGCGAGATCCTCTAACTCCACCAGCATCTCTATTGAGTCCGCTCCAAGGTTGAAGCCATTAAAGTCGACGGTTGACAGAGTTAAGGCAGATTTATTATAGGGGGGGTTATCACATGCAAAGCCCTGGTATTTGTTGCAGACGTCTGGGCCAGTCCATGAGTTGGTTATGCCCTTGGGGTCACTCGTGATGGTTGTCTTGAACCTTTGGATGGTCCGGTAGGCCACGTAAAGTTTATAGTCTGAAAAATCTGAAGGTCCCAGCTCCTTTGGACGCCGTGGGGGTGGCGGTGGTGCTTCAGGTGGTTGGCAGAGTAGCGGTGAAGGGGGCGGATTAACATCACCTCCTCCTCCTCCTCCTCCTCCTATTCCTATTCCTATTCCTATTCCGATGAAAGGACTCCCTTCAATACTCAAACCCAATGTCTCTCCATTAATGATGGTGGCGATGGCGGCACTCCAGATGCAGAGAAAGAGGATCGGGAAGGTGCGGCTGCTCTCCATTGCTTTCCCTCCCTCCACCTGTGCTTCACAAGATGTTATTTTTTGTGTGGAAAAGACAATGGTGATAATAAATGCTATGCTATGCCGACATACTTTCTTTTCGGTACAGCTGTAGCCGCCTTATCCTAAGACCTCTACGTTTCCTATTAATACATCGAGTGATCCAAAACTTTTCTTATTAAAGAGGTCGTCTGAAAGTTCCATCTAGGGATCCAAATTCATCCGTACTTTTGTGCCTAGAACTGTCATTCAACTTTTTTTTTAAAGCGTTGATGCAAATTCTTACCCAGTCTTTATCATAGGATTGTACGTTACAAGACCATGGGTCATAATTTTTACTCTTTGAGGTATTTTTACTCTTTGAGGTGAAATCTGGTACGTGAAAATATGTACAACATTTAAAAAATTTTGTTTTAAATATTATTTTTAAATTTTATGTAAAAAGAATGGCAACCTGAACTTTTGGAAATAATAATTATTACATCAAAAGTAAATGATGATTTTATATAGCGAAAAATTTATATAGAGTGAGGGGTTCTAAACAATGAAATTTGAGTCTATCTCAAAAATTTTATTGGAGTAGTTTATTTTGATTTTAAGATATTTTCAAATTGATCATCTCCACATCAAGATGTATAAACATAAGAAAAAAATTGATTTCCAATTTTTGGAAATAGTATATTTTATAATATATTTTTTAATCATCAATTTTCAAAATTTTCAAGTTTTCATAGATCTATCGAGTAATTTTAAAGCTTTAAACTTTATAAATAAATATAAAATAAATTTTAAGGCTATTACAAAGATTTCCAATATTAAACCACATTTTTCGATACGCTTTGAAGGTTGGCTCTAATTTAATTGTTTAGAGCCTAGGCTCCATACAAACGGCACCTTTTTATATATATTAAAAAAATAAATAAATATTTTTTATATAAAAAATAAATATAGTTAAACTTATATTAAAAAAATAAATAAATATTTTTTATATAAAAAATAAATATAGTTAAACTTCGCATTCGAATATAGCAGGAACGGCCAGAAGAGGCTGCAAACAGGATTGTTACATGTAAGAGTGAGCTTTTATTAAGGCGTAAATCTTATACTATTGAAGTAAGATATTCCTCAAAACCATGTCGAAATTGTAGTTTTATTGCCGGAAAGCCAGCGATAATATGAAAATCAATTGTTGGCCTCAATTATTAAATTTGAAGTATAAAAAATAGTGATGATCAAGCAGATCTATAGATGCTTGAAAATCTTAAAAATAGACAGTCAATATAATGTGTACAAAGATGAATTATTTTTAGAACTAGATATTTTCTTTTTTCATGTTTATGAATCTCAAAGTTGAGATGATCGATTTGAGGGTTTCCAGCTTAACAACAATATTTTATATGGGTTTTTTTAGATAAACCTTACTCATACAGTATAAGGTCAACCCCCTATATAATTTTTTCCTATATTGGCATGGGTTTTGGATAAGAAATAACGTGGGAAGGGCTAGAAGAGCTGTGAGTATTATTAGATGATTTGTACGGGTTATTTAATGAGAACAAACATTGAATAGGATGGGAGGGATCCGTGGCGGGGTTGCATTGAAATAAGGGTGCGTTTTGTAAGCCAAGGCTCTAAACAATCAAAGTAAACCCACCTTAAACTAGTGTCGAGAAATATATTTTCAATGTTAAAAATCTTTGTGAGACCTTTAAATTATATTTTTCGCTTTAATTATAAAATTTAAAGTTTTAAAAATAATGTAGATCGAGCAGATCTATAAAATATTAAAAAACTTGAAAATTGACGGTTCAAAAATATGTTGCAAGATACATTATTTTCAAAACTTGAAATCTATTTTCTTTTCATATCCATGCATCTTGATGATGAGATGATCAATTTAAGGATATTTGGGCATCAAAATAACCACTTCTAATAAAAATGTTTGAGATAAGCTCTAATTTGATTGTTTAGAGCCTCAACTCTATATATAAACTTTTTCCTTAGAAAATAATGGTTAGGAATTTTTACCAGGAAATAGGGGCAATCTTCATATGATATTTTCTATTAAAATAAAAAGAAAATTAGCAGACTGAACAGATCGCCAGTCCAACCAATTAAAGTTGGCGGTCTCAATCTGGATCATTAGTTTTTACTAACTCAGCTAAAAAATAAAGAAAAACAAAACAAGAGTGTGGACGAAACAGATTTTCACTTGATTTTCAGTAAAAAATTGAAAGAAATTTTTTATAAATATCTCCTATATTTTGCATAATTTAAAAAATATTTTTGATATTACAAATTTACATTATTCCCACATTTTTAGAGCACATCTAGTAGTTTAAATTGGAACCGTTTTCTATGCGGCCAAGCGCGCAAATGTAGAAATGCGTTCTAAGACTTAATTTCTAAGGACATGTAATCTCTAATATGGAGATCATGAATATGAATAAGTACATCAATTTAAAAATTAAAAATAATAATTTTAGCAAGAAAACTTTTGGACCATTATTTTCCATTATTTTTAGATGGAACACCTACTTGCATCTATCTTTAAGATGGATGCTTTAGACTTTCTCGACCGCATATATAGAAATGCAATCCAGCCCGCATGAAACAATTTTCTTTTTAAATTTCTCTTTTTTTCCCATACATTGGATTAGGATTATACTTTGGGTGTCTTCTTTTTTCACCATTATCCAATGGTAAAACATAAAATTTATTAAATAAAAATAAAATAATAGAATTATTTTCAGGAATATTTTTGTCAATTTAGGTTAATTTGATATATAGAAAACTAGAACAATACTAAAAAAACGGAACATTATTTTCATAAATATTTCAGTCAAGTTAGTTTAATTTGATATATAGAAAAAAAAAAAAATGCAATACATGCACTCAAAAAATGGAACATGAGCTTGATATTTGAAATCTTATAGACATTTTAATAATTCCGTAAAATAGAGGACATGCTTATGTAAATTCCCAATATTTAAATATGATTAAACTAATATTTGAATTAAAGCAAAAAATCCTCTTAACTCAATGTTTTAAGGAAAATTGTTTCATGAGGGTTGGACCCCATTTTTACGTATGCGGTCCAGAAAGTGTAAATCATCAATTTAAAAAATAGATACAAGTAGGTGTTCCATCTAAAACAGAAGAAACTAACGGTCCAAATGTTTTTTTAGTAGAATTATTATATTTAGTTCTTAAAATTTGTTTAATTTTTCATATTTATGATCTCCATGTTAGAGATTACATGTCTTTAAAAATTAAATCTTAAAATCCATCTAAAAAATAGATTTATTTAAAGGCCCGCAGTTCTACATATGCGGGCTTGGCTGCATAGAAACCGGGTACATGTTTAAATCAAATTAAATAGAAGAATTACAATTTAGTCGAAATCAAACCAAATTTCAGTAGATTTCAGCACTATTTCAAAAGAAAAAAATGAATACTTAAAAACAATTTTGTGTGGATTTGAATTTCATATCAAAACCATATTTGATTTTAACTGAGTTTAATCATATTGATTGCATTAAAATGAATTTAAATCCACTCAAATCTGTTTTTGAAAAATAATTTAAATCCATCGATTTTGGGTAATTTGTTAGATGGATTTCAAAACATAACTACGGTGAACATAAATCTGCTCAAGTGTTCCGAGACTCGCCTCAATCCAATTACTCGGCTCTTGCCTAAGGCAAGCTAGTCAGGCAATTCTGAGTGGACTTGCTCGGGTTGTTTGCATTCTAAGAACAACTATACAAAAAATAATAATAATAATAATAATAAATCAAAGCGGAAGGCGGCACAGGGCTAAAGGGATTTCCTTTCTTGGCCATGTTTCTTTGCCACTCTCGTAATCCAACACCTCACTCTTACTTATCATTGGTCAGGGCCGGGTTTTCGCGTCAGTCCCCACACGGACGGGGCATGTGTGCGTGGGGGAGAAAACCCTTTATCGAACAACCGCAGAGGGTTTTCACATGCGAGGCACCTGTGGGTGTGCGTGCGCTGACACTCTTGAGTACAGATAAGTACCAACAACGAGAGAGATTTACGGCGGGGGTACGTTTGGACGCTTCCCTCGTTGTTTGGGGTTGAGGTGACACACCCGGGCAGTTCGTCCACTTAGAACAATCACGAAGCCCTCCGGCTATCTACCAGTGCAGTTTGGACGGGGACTCTCTTCATGCTTTCAAATGATCTCTTCTCTCTCTCTCTCTCTTGCATGCTTGCAATTGCGATGGGGGCTCAATTATCCCTCTCTATGATGATTCCCTCAAAGAGGCTAACTGGCTAGTGGGAGGGAACGAGAGAACCCAAGGGTTATGGGAACATGCGTCTATTGCGAACGTGGGTTACTGCACGGGGCTGATAACATGTAGAGGAGGAGAGAGAGCTTGGGATGTGGCCCAGCTTAGGAGAGAAAGAGAACGTGCACTCAGAGATATTTTCTCTCTCTAGGAGGGAATAGGACCATGCACTCAAGGGCATTTTTCTCTCTATGAAATTTTTCTCTTTTCTCTCGGCAAGATTAAGGGCTTAGAAGTAAAAGACGAGTGAAAACAAGTGTTTGCCTCTGTTTTAGTGATGAATAGTTTGCCTTTTTACAAATGACTTAAGCTTATAAAGGACTCACCGAACAAGGGTAAATGTTCAAAAACTGAGATTAATTACAATTAAAGAAATTAAAATAAAATCCTGAAATTAGGTACAATGATCAAAATGCCCCTAAACTCTTTATGCTAATGACGAAACCATCCCTGCTTGAGGGTCCTTTCGTCATTGCCAGATCTTGGAAGCTTTTCCAGAAACTTGTAGCGATGGTTCGGTCGATTTGCCTTATATCATCTGTGCTTGTTTGATTCGGAGCATTTTGATGCCCTTTAACGGTGTTGAGGCAGCCTTTTCCCATGAGGTGGAAATCCGACCAGATTCGTGAACTTAGATCGCTAATGTCGTTCGACCTGTGACGTTCTGAGTCTTTGTTTTACCTGCAAACGAAAGATGAGACTGTCACAGTCGTTTTGTACCAAGTTTGGTTTGTTTTGGTCTTCATTTGCGGCATTTTCTAATTTGGGATGTCATCGGAAAAGGGATTTCGGGGACTGAGCAGGCCTACTTTTTTTGTAACCTTAG